AAAGTGTGCCCAAGTTCCCCTTCGCCTGGGCACTTTGCCCTACAGTGGGAACTTCCTCCTGTCTGTTACATGGCAGCCTCAACGCTGCCTCTTCCGAGCAGCCCTCCCTGTCTCTCAGATGACCTCTCCTCCACCCCGGGTTCGGCTTCCCTCCAACCCTCATGACAGCCCAAACTCGTGACAGTCTCCCAGGGGTTCATCGTGCCCACTCTCGCAGGCAGCCCCACAGAGCCGGGTGGCACCTACACCCTTCTTGAAGCTGCACAATTTAAAATTTCAAATGCAATGAACACGATGGGAAATACCAGGGTCATCTCCTCTGACGTGAGGATTCTAACAGAAAACAAAAATCCAAGACTGTTTATAAAGAAAAATGAAAAGAGCGCCAAGAAAATGTCTTGGTCCCAACATTTCCTTCCCAAACAAATTAGTCAGGTTATCTAAAATGTTAGAGAAAAACCCTGCTGCATACGAGGTGGCGTTAGTTACTGCTCTGCCCAAGGCATCCCCACAGCCACAGATGCTGAGACGCTGAAGCGCAGCTACCTCCAAGCCACGCTAAACTGCAGATTTCAAAACACACTCTTTTCCAAACATGGCTCTCCTCCCGCTCTAATGCTGTGGGAGTTCCAGGCAGTTAAATAGAACAGCGCCGATGTGTAAAATATCCTCCCAGCTAGACCTGGACCAGAAGTCAGTGGCAAGGGCAGGCGGGGGAGTGGGAGGAAGAGTCTCAGTGCTCAGAATCCCGTCTCACTGCAGGAGTGCTCCCCGTTCCAGGAGTGCTCCCCGTTCGCCTGCTAGAGCCGAGGGGAAGCTCTAGACTGGCAGGAGCCTTTGCAAAGCCAGGTCGTCAGGCGGCCAGCAGCTGGAGCACTCTGAGCATCCCCTTGTCGGGGCTGAATCCATCATCTCCAAAGATGTCAGCATCTGCCCGAGCCGTTTTATATTAGAATAAATGGCAGATGGCGGTGTTTTTATATTTAATCAGTTCCACCAAATGCAGTTTCATCTCTTCTAAAATGAAGCCATCTGTGGCGTGTGGGTGTGCAGATCTTGCTAAATGCCCACTGCCGAACCCTTTCTGGGGAAGGTAAGCCGCACGTGCTAACGACGGTTGACATCAGGCGCACTGAGCCCAGAAAGCCTTTTAAATACAACTCTGTGTTTATTAAATACTTGCACGTAATCACGCCAAATATTTACGGCTCCTGAGCCTCGGTGTGAGGCTGGAGGCAGAGGTTTCGCTTCTTACCCAGCCTAGCGTGCAACCATTTCTTTGCTAGTGTCTCATTTTAAACCGCCTGAAAATATTCTCACAGCAAAATGGTCACTTTTTTGCCTTGGAATCATCCTTCTGAGCATTTTGTCTTCATTTGGATGTGACTTCTTTGCAGGCAGGTTATCTCTGGCCGCTGCAACTGTCAGCGCCACACACGCAGTCCGCAGCCCAGTACGAGATATCAGTAACACATGACTGTGTATCTCCATCGGGAGAGGCCAGCCAGGCACACAAATAAGGGGAAAATGCAGTATTTCCTTCAAAACGCCAGCAGATGCAACACCAGAACCCCTGCTTTTTTTGGCCCCACAAAGCAGACACAATCTTGGGGTACCTTGCATCTTTACTTCTCCTAGGATTGGAAGCCGGGCCCACCTAAACCATGAGGCCAGAAAGGAGAGCTCTTCCTGCCAGCGCTGCATGTCCCCCAGGACAGGGAGCATTGAAGGGATGGAAGGTTCTGGAACCCTTGGAGCTACAGAAAACATAGAACGCAAAATATTTCTCCCAGACAGCAAGATGGAATCAACAATGAGGCACTGCTCAGTGTGATGATGTGTTTCCAACATTATCATAAACTTTGACCAGTGGGTTCTTCAAGCCCAAGTCCCTTGACGCAGCATCCCGTTTCTTTCGATCTGGCCCCAGGCTGCTTCCCCTTCCTGTACCTCATGAACTGCTCATTCCTCAAAGTAGCTCAAAGAGGAGGCCTCAGTGTCCCCTGAGCTCCCGCCACCCTCTGGCCATTTATGTCTGAACGCCCAGATTTCTTGTTTCCTCTGAACTCCATTCCACTCTTAGGAGCCTCGTCTCTCCGCTGTCTCCACCAGCTGAGGGCAGGACTGGAGGTTTCAGGAGCATGGCTCCATGACAGGCATCTGCAGCTTTTAAAGACTGCACCTGAGCAGGCTGGTGGGTTCCAGTGTAAAACCAGTGAGTTGTGTTAGCTATAACCAGCTCAGGTACTCCATAGGCAGCTCAAGTGTAATGTGATAACAAACATGAGTCAGGTGACCTCCCACCTGCTGTTGGCCAGTCTCCTTGCTGTCTCCCAGTGACTGTGGGGAAGGGTTCCCCTCCTCTCCTCTGGCCCCCTGGAGAAGAGGGGAACCCAGCAAGAAGGGGCAGACACTGCTTCCCAGGGAAGAGGCGGTGTCAGTCGCACTGTGCAGGAAAGGGCCTTGGGATCAGGCCCAGCATCACGCGCCACGAAAGTCACATGCTGCCTGATTCTCTGGGTGCTCCTGAGCACAGCTGCAAGGCTTCTGGGACATCACCGATCCAGAGCACCTGTCACAGGTCCTGGGCCACTGCAGGTCCCTGGGTTACGTTCCTCTCCTCTACTGATGCACCAGCCTACCTGCTCCCAACTAAGTTACGTAGAATTATCATATCTTCTCATACATGAATATACATAAGACAAATGGGGAATGTTATTAGCATAATGAATATTCTAATTATGACTCTAACATTAAAGCTGGCACCAAACATTAATCCCTGGGAAATACCAATTGCCAAGGATGTAATTACCAGCCTGTGATGGAGGACAGAAAGGATTGAACTTGAGGAATCAAGGAGCCACTGCACTTTTCAAACACAAGAGGAAATCTGTTCCAATACATGACATTTAATATACATCACTTCCCTTCTTGAGAAGCAGCAGCAGAAGGGAGATCACCTGACTTATTTATTTGTTGGTCACATTACATTTGGGATGCCTACTGAGTACCTGAGTTGGTTCTAGCTAATGGGATTTCCCTGCTTCACACTGTGTGTGTATAAACTCCTGTGATATGTAGATATAAAGTCTCAATTATGTATATCATGTTACTGGGTTGATGGATCAGGATGTGCCAAAAAAATAACTAACACCACTGACACACAGCTTACAATTCCTCGTGTTTCTCTAACAACCCTAAGGAAAACTTCAACAGCATGGTCCCAATTTGTGCACGGGGGTCTGAGATGCACAAAGGTTAATCAGTAGTAACCGCAACCAAACAAGAACCAACGCTTCTGAGTCTCTTTTCTCAGCCACATCTTAGAAGCGATTTGCATGCATTATAGCTGTTCTCATCCCCATTGTACAATGTGACACAATTACTTGACCAAGAGTCGCCAGCTAAGGATTGTCAAAGCCAGAAGCTGCAGTGAGGCAGTAACCCCCAAAGGCAGCCTTGAGATGGCTAAGACACAGTCCCCACTCATCCAGGCTCACCCAGGTCTACAGTCTGAAGCCGAGACCTACAGATCCCAGAATCCCTGGGCAAGGGACCACAACACTCACCATTCAGACGTCAGTGCTTCTAGGAGTCCGGAAAACAAAGCAAGGAGGTTCCGCTGAGCACCCAGCTAAACCCACAGGTTCTGATCAAAGAGTCTCTGTTACACTGCCAGGGCCAAGTCAGAGTCAGTGACCTGACGGGAACACATCCAATCATGGCTTATCCCTACAGAAGATACACAGACATACAGATGGATGTGTAACAGAGCGGGTGGGTGGGCTGAAGGGACACCAGCAAGGAGACAGCAAGCTGCCCGAGTGCCAGGCCTGGTCCTGCCACTGCATGAAGAAGAGAAGCCCAAGAATGAGCCAGACAGGCAAGCCAAATGCAGGAGTCCGGCTAGGTGGACGAGCTCACGGGGGCAGAACATGGCTCCAGGGCTCCTGCTGGGCGGAATCAGAGGGGATCATTCAGTGCAAATACAGGCAGGCAACTAGGAACAAAAGCGTTCCTGCCTGTCCTGGACACAGCAGTTGTCAGACTTTGATCCTGTGAGGGCCCTAAACTTAGAAGATACAAAAATCACCCCCATGATGCTCTTCCAAACGGCCAGCCTCCTTTCCCAAGGATGTTACGCAGAGCAGCTGAGCAGAGTTGATGCTGAGAGATGGCACACACCTGTGTAGGAATCGCTACTGAAATACGGAGAGGTCAGAGCAGGTGTCAGAGAGGAACATGGCTGCCATAGGACCATGGGGGCCCCAAGTGGGAAAAGATGGGAGGTAAAACCACCAAACACATGAAAAGCAGAAATACTTTGGATAAGAAATTTAAGAAAGGTTAATTCTGCAGCACCTGCAATGCTGGCAATCCATAGGGGCGCTGCTTCCAGGACCAGCTGCTCCACATCCCATCCAGCTCCCTGCTTGTGGTCTGGGAAAGCAGCGGAGGATGGCCCAAAGTCTTGAGACCCAAAAGAAACTCCTGGCTTTGTATTGAATGAACTGTAGCCATTGTAGCCATTTTGGGAGTGAAGATAGAAGATCTTTCTCTCTCTTTTTGTAACTCTGCCTTTCAAGCAAAAATAAAAGAAATATTTCAAAGAAATAAAAAAAAAAATGAGAAAACGAAATCCAAGCAAGAGGCAATACAGGAGAGCCAAAGGATATGGAACTAAGCAGCCATGCTGACTGCCTGGTAGAAACCTGACAGGAAAGGCAGCTGCGGGGAAGTCCCTGGTGCTGGCCCAAGACGCAGCTCCTCAGAAGAACTTCCCAGTCTGTGCTGTTGATGGCAACAAGATGCATGCAATCCTGGCACTGCACTTCACAGCTCTCTGCTAACTTTCGGGTGTGATGTGGAATTTCATTCACCTGCCTTGGCTAAAGTCAACTGGCTGCACCTGATGAAAGTCAAGCAGAGACAGGCGATGGGGAGCAGGGTGTGCTGGCAGCATCAACACCCCAAAGGGAAGTGGTTGCACAGGACCCTACCTTTTAGCAGGATGTAGTGTGGGAGCAGGGTGTGCCGTGACACTAGTGGGCCGTGGCTTCCATGCTGAAGCCAAGACATTGAGAGTCCTGTGGGAAGCGGGTGCCAAAGCCACTCTGGGAATAGGAAAGGCCATTGCAGGATGGCGGCTGCCCCAGGTCCAGGAGGTGGGGTTGGTCTCGCCAGCAGGTAAACAGGAAGTCACAGGGATAGGCTGATGCCCTCACTGCGATTATGTCATTACTACTGGCCTATCAGGTAGCGCCAAGTGGACCCACAGGGGAGAAGTGATTGGTGGAGAACAGCATAAAAGCAGCTGTGAAAACTAAGGAGGGGGACAAGGCGGAGAAAGACGGGGAGAAGAGCGATGGATGGAGCAGGAAGAACGGGGCTGCAGAGAGGGAAGAGGGGCTAAGATCTTTGGGTGGAAAAGCAGCAGAGCGGGGTACAAAAGTGGTACAGAAGCAGTAAGACCTACGGAGAGAAAAGTACGGGGACAAGAACAGAGAAGAGCAGCAGAGAGAGGGAAGAAAAGGAGAGAGGGGAGAAAAGGAGAAAGGGGTACAAACACAGCCGCTTTTGGCAATAAGGGGTCCGGTTGCGATTCCAGCTTTTCCCAGACCCTCCAGAGTGTGCCTCGTCCTTAATGTCACTGTTGGCCGGCGACAGAGACCTAGGTTAATGATAAGAAACAGATGCTAAGGGAGACCCATTGTGCATGATGGCTGGGGAAACTTGTTAGAGCCATCCCAAACAGCAGCTCTCTCTAACTCTCTCCACAAGGCCACAGTCTCTAACTGCCTTTCAAAGAGTCTGGAATTCATGCATGAAAGCCATCTCGGGGAGCCTGGCCAGGGTGCCACTGGCCTGAGGATTCAAGCTCACCTTGTGGCCATCCGCATGTGTTCCCTCCTCTGTGCCTAACCCTGTCCTGGGCCTCAGGCATCTAGGGACTAACAAGGCACAGAGGCTTGAGCCCGAAGTGGAACCTGTACCACTGAGCCAAGGAAGCCGTGGACAGCACAACCACACACGTCAGGTCAGGCCTGGCTCACCATCCTGGCTGGCCAGGACTGGGGACCACATGGGCTGTGCAGGCATAAGCTGTCGCTTGCACCTCTTTAGTGTTTCCAGGTGAGAAAACATCATAGCCACAAAGCTCCAGGCACAAGTCAAGTCCACCATTCACTCAGGCACGCATTCATTTATTCGTTACCTGATTGGAGCACAGCCTCGGTAAGTGGGTTCCCAACCGCAGGAGCCTAGAACCCGCAGTGAGCACACAGTCTAGGCACAGTCACAGAGGCATGCTTTCCTCTCCAGCTGGGAAGGGGCTAGGCATGGCCACAGAATGAAGCCTGGACAGGTGCAGGAAGCAAGGGGAAAGAGGACCTCCCTTCCTGTCAGACTGTGAGGCTGCCAGCCCAGAGCTGCTGGGAGCTCTGAGGGGGCACCTGGAAGGAAGCCTGGGAGAAAGGAGAGTGTGGGAGCTGAGTGATGAGCCAGGGCCCCGGGCCCCAAGCCGGCCCCACTGCCGTGCCCAGATTCCCCTGCAGTACAAGGCCAGTAAAGCTGTTCTCGCTCCCTGCTTTTAACCCTGAGCGCCCTGAAGAATCCTGGCAGTCCTTCATCCTTCAAGGCCCAGCTCCAGGACCACCCTCTTCTCCCCCAGAGAGGAGAAAAGACACACCTGCTTTGACCTTCTGCCAACCCAAACAGTGGCCTTCTGTTTGCCATGCCCACTTGGCAGATTCTGACCTCTGTGGCCAGCCAAGGGTCTCACCTTCTTCCCCTGTGATGCCCACAGGGTCCAACAGTAGCAGGAAAAAAATAACTATTTCCAGACTCAGTTTAGATGCTTTTTCTTCATTCAGTACTTTTCCCCACAGCCCTTACATGGACCTGTATCTTTTTTTTTTTTTAAGATTTATTTTATTTTCATTGGAAATGCAGATATACAGACAGGAGGAGAGACAGAAAGGAAGATCTTCCATCTGATGATTCACTCCCCAAGTGGCCACAACGGCTGGGGTTGCCAGCCGATCTAAAGCCAAGAGCCAGGAGCCTCCTCCAGGTCTCCCACGCAGGTGCAGGGTCCCAAAGTTTTGGGCCGTCCTTGACTGCTTTCCCAGGCCACAAGCAGGGAGCTGGATGGGAAGCAGGGTCACCAGGATTAGGATTAGTGCCCATACGGGATTCTGACACGTGCAAGGCAAGGACTTTAGCCACTAGGCTACTGTGCTGGGCCCAGACCTGTACCTTTTAAAAGTAATGTTCCTAACAAATAGCCTCATTCACTCGCTCCAAACCCTGCATATTTTCTTGAGCCCTTACTGTCTGCGAGGTATCAGTGCTGGATGCAGAGGCATGGGAACACATACGCCCCTATAATCCAGCTAGAGAGGGGACAGAGGAGGAAGCAAATTTGCGTCAGGTATATGACAAAGCCCAGGCAGAGGACAGATGTCGCAGGAGCCCACAGAGCACATGGCTTCCCTGTGATGGAGAACGAGTGAGTGTATACGGAGGAGGCTGAAAGAGCTGACAACTTCTGGGAACATTTGAGTTAGGCGACATATACTGAAGTCCATCTGCTATGTCCCCCAGGAAGTACTGCCACATACCATCAGTCTAAGTACGCCAGGACCACTATGCACCCTGCGAGCATCAGAGCTAAGCTTGACAAACATTCACAGAATGGCCAGTTCATGACCAGGGACCACAACTCACAACTCCCTTTAAATTTTAATTCCAAGACTCACACATGTAACATGAGACAATTGCATTGCATTTTCAAAAAAAAAAAGTACAACCCCATGACCCCGGAAGTTCAGCGTCTCACTTCCCCAGCGACCCAAGCAGAAAACCTCAATCTGCATAGGCATGTTTCCTTCTGGAATCCCAAGGTAAAGGCTTTGGCAACATCTCGGGCAGCTCAGTCCATGCCAGGCAGAGTCCTTGCCGATATGACACCGCAGCACCTGCTCCGGAGACCAGCACCTTCCTCCCACTGCTTTCTCTGACTTGGGAGGACAAAGGCTTGAGGCTAGTTAGATGTGATGTGTGCAGGATGCACATAGCTTATCAAGACAGTGAATTTTCTCCATTGCTTGCTAAGCTCTGGGACCACTTTCAGCATTTGCACAGAATCCCACAGTGAGATTCTTATAACACAGGGTCGCACATTGACTCGTGCAAACTGTGGGATTTGTCCACCTGACACCCATGTCCTGTACCTTGGGAGAAGGACTGTGCTGGCTGCTCATGGCTCCCCATCCCCTCTCAGTCCGGCTGCATGGAGAGCCCTAACAAGAAGTTCCAGTGACTGAAGCAGGGCCTTGCCTTGTGACTTCTGCCAAACCTGAGCAGGCTCTGGGCCTGAAAGGTTCGCTCAAAGTTCACAGGAGGTGATAATGAGCAAGAGCCGGAACAGCTGCCAGGCACCGAGCAGTCACCACCAGCTGACTTACCCACCCTTACTCACCACAGTCCCTGTGCATATGGTCTCCACCACTGCCCTACAAGTGTCCGCCAGTGGAATGGGGTGTGCAGTGCTGCCCAGCCTGGGCCCCATGAAAGTCACAGCCATGAGGGGGAGTACAGGGCCCATCTACGCTCCCAGTCCCAGAAGCAGCAGCCAGGCATCCAATAAGTGCCCACTGCCTGTCTTCAGAGCTCACAGAAGACTCAATAGACAGCCACTTCCTATATGGGGCTTTCACTGTGCTGCCTTAATTGCCAGCTTGCCACCAGAGTGGGCAGAGCTGGCTAAGCTACACCAGCTAGACCCAGAGACTTCACACGGCCACTCTGGTGGCACCTCTGACATGGGTGGTGCCCAGGTGCCACCAGCAGCAGCATCTGCGGGCAAGAGGGACTCCTGCAAGCAAGGAGCACCAGGCATGCCAGAGGAAAGACACAACCTGTAAGGAAAGTGGCATTGCAAGGGCTGGTGCTGTGACTCAGCATGACAAGCTGCCACCTATAATGTCTGCATCTCTTGGGGGTGCCAGTTCCAACCCTCTGTTCCACTTCCCATCCAGCTCCTCACTAATGCTCCCGGGAAAGCAACACAGACAGCCCAAAGCCTTGGACCCCTGCTATCCATGTGGGAGACCTGGATGGAGTTCCTGACTCCTGGCTTCAGCCTGACGCATTTGAGGAATGAACCAACAGATGGAAGATCTCTCTCTCTCTCTCCCTGGGATTCCTTTCAAATAAATAAATAAACCTGTAAAGAGAAGAATGTAGGCCCAGCACAGTAGCCTAGTGGCTAAAGTCCTTGCCTTGCATGGTGCCAGCCCCTGTCCCAGCAGCTCTTCCACTTCCCTCCCAGCTCCCTGCCTGTGGCCTGGGAAAGCAGTCGAGGACGGCCCAAAGCCTGCACCCACGTGGGAAACTTGGAAGAAGCTCCAGGCTCCTGGCTTCAGATCAGCTCAGTTCCAGTCATTATGGCCACTTGGGGAGTGAATCAGCAGATGGAAGATCTTTGTCCTTCTCTCTGTTAATCTGACTTTCCAGTTAAAAAAAAAAAAACTAAATGTGTCTTAAAAAAAAAGGGGGGGGGGAGGAAGTGGCATTATTGATTGAGCTGCTCTCCTATGAAAGGCAATCACAGTCAACACACAGAGTGAGACCCTGAGGGCTGTCCAGCAGCTCTCGGCCATCAACGGCCGGTTTCTACGTTTCTGTCATGATAGCGAGATTTGTCAACTTCTAAAATTTAAAATTTGTTGTGATTTTTTTCCTCATTCTAAATAAGTTTTCACTTTCGTAGCTCATTGCGTATTCGTAGTTTTGTGCTGTAATTTTGCTTCTTGGAAGAGAGTACCAAAGACTTCACCAGGATACTTCAAAGAGTTTATGGAAAATGAAACTAAAGGACAGGTTTATTTTGGTTTTTTTTAAAAAAATTTAAATCCATGCATACTCTTCTCAGAACATGCATTTTTCATGAGCGTGTTGAAGACCCCTTGGATGCATGGATTCCAAGAACCTTCCGCATTTCATGTATCCCACACCGCATTGCACATATCTTTTCATTCCGTCTGGTGGAGTTTGGGCTGTGCCCCTGTGGGAGCATTAGACCCCACAAGACCTGCCTCTGCCCTCCGCCCGAAGGAAACCTGCCACATCGTGGAGGTCCCGGGAGCCCCA